AATTTCAAGATATTATTCAAGATATATTGAGAAATTGCATGAATTAATTATGTACAGTATAATTATAATAATTGTTTACAATAATTATGGTCAAAAAGAAACTCCTTATCGAAGGGTGAATTTTTCGTCAATAGTGTCACACACGTGTCAGAGTCAAGAGTTTTCCTAAAATCGTAATTATTGAGTTACATATAACACTGTTGCAGTTAATGAGTAACATTAAATGCCTGATTTTTACTCTTTTTATAATTAATAAATTACTAGATATTATTAAAACAGTTTATTTAATTTGATTTATTCATGGTCACAAAATCATAGTACAAGGAATACAACGAGCAGATTGAAATATTATAGCCACTCTGCGCGTAATGAATTCGTGAATGTAGAATGTATTCACGTAAGTGATTTCAGTGCTTGATCGAACATGGCATGACTGATAGTATTGTTTCGAACGATATTCCTGACACAGTGATTTAAGTTTTATCATAAAACCTTCTACTTTATGATATACATTTTTAACTTGGAATTTTTGCAGCCTCTTCAAGTGACTTTTTAAAAGTAACCATGGTGGAATATCAAATTATTGTGAGGAGATAGAAAAGTTACATACTTTACATTTGCCATGTTGTTATGACTTCGATAACAGTGAACTATACATTTTCTTTTGTTTCTTACATATCTCTATACACAGTAGCTGTATTTATATCAAAAATTCAAATTTCATCGTGTTCCAGAAATACAAAAAAACTGTTGTAAAAATATTGAAAGTATGCAAGACGTGTACAAATTACTGAGAGTGGTGTGACGGTATATGAAAATATGTACATGTTTTATAAACTTCTAACATATTTTAACTTTCTTAATGAAATATTTAAATAATTATAATTCTTAATTAAATAATTATCTTAATCTCTAAATTAATAATCTTAATTTAAATGATAAAAATTCTTAACTAACTTTCTAACATATTTTGGCATTAAAAGTGTATTATCAGTCCTCCTCTTGACGAATTAAAAATCTCTGAACGTTTTTGGAAAGAAAAATATACTGATGAATATCATCATCGTTTCAGTGTGTGAGATAGCTACGAACTATTAGAGTAAAATAATTTGCAATGGATTTAAATAAAATAAGTTTGGCGACGCGCAGGAAGAAAGTTTTTGTCCGGTTTTTCACGCTGCTCTAAGGTCCATGAAAATAACTTTGTGTTAATGAGTGCATTTGGCATAAAAAGTCAGAAATTTAGAAAGCGTGGAACTATTTACGATCGGGGCAATGCATTCTTGTCCAGCTTTGCAAGAAAAGAGAGAGGCGCGAATCCGAATTGGGCACGCAAATTCTAGCTTGTTTCTTACCTTACAGTGCATAAAATTGCTCCTGTTTTTGCAAGAAAGTATGCGCAATTTCATAGAATCTTCCTCTACTGTGTCACATAGTCACATGCATAAAGACTTCACTCTGACACACTACATCTTTACTATTTACCACGCTGAATAGATTTTCTGTATTCAAATTTCTACTCGTTTCATTATCGACAAATTTTCCTTTCTATATCACCGAAGAAGCGAATATAGTTTACGAAAACTAGAAGCATACAAAATATTGATAATTGCTGTCAGGATTGCTCTAAAATACCGTTGATACGCTTCTTATAACATTCTACTAACTTAACACTAGATTTACGGAATTTGTCAAAATGACGGGTCACTAATTTTTTAATTTACGATTATTCATATCGTAAAGATACATTTATGAGTTATTCATTCAATTTATACGTTACTTACGGCAAATGTTACAATAACACTTGTTAAAAATCAGAATAAATGTCTTATTGTTACTTTTATATACTAATATAAAACAGCTGTTTTTTGTGCTTCGTAAATCTAGTGTTAATCGACGAAGCAACGAATGAAATCCATTTATGCGACTCATACCTCGCAAAAATTTTATTGAACAGTAGCAATTTCGTGTACAGACATTGGCAGTGGAATCTGTCAGAAATAAATGTTTATAATAATAATGACACCATCCGCAGTGGTTTTAAAGGAGGTATTCTGGTTTTAAACCTTTCGAAAATCAGTTCTATTTTTCTTCAAGTATAAGTATTTTAGAACATGTGTGCAAAACGATTTGTTTGAATTCGTAAAAATAACGAAGTTATTAGTGTTCGAAATACGTATACATACAACCAATTAACCGACAAGTGAAACTTTAAACACGATCTTCTCGGAAACTCATTTCGTCAAACTCAAGGATCGCATTGATGAGGATATTATATTCCCAAGCTGTTTGCTGACGTAAAACATTCAAGAAAATCAAATCAAAACCGGTTTTACGTGTGTGTCTGTTTTATTTGACGCACCTATTAATGTTAAACCATTTTAGAATATGGTTTACTATTATGCTGGATGCAATATTATGAATGATCGGAAAATAGTTGAGAAACACAGATCTGGAGGCACGTATTACAGTAAACTTAAGGAGTTACTCCGATGACGTCATAATGTTAATTAACCTCCGTAATACGTTCATCGAGATTTCTTGCCAAATAAAGAAAAACTGTCCTGTACGGAAATAGCAAAAGACTAGAAGTTTAGTAATACTATAAGTGTAACAACTATATAACAACAATATATAATAACAACAATATATATATATATATATAATGTAAATAAGTGTAATACTGTAAGTTTTAAATATTATTAGCACGCTGAAGTTCGATTTCTCCGATGTTAATGCTGAGAACGTTACGACCTCCGCGAAAAGGAACCCGCCACTACAATAGTTTCCACAATAACAGCCGAATCGTGTACCGTCAACTTGTCGATAAAGCAACTCCCGCAGCACGAAACAGGCTTTGCGGCTTTCTGAATGAAAAAGTGCGCGATAAATCATGGTAAATCTCGGTAGTTCATTATTACAGGTAATATTGGAGGCGAATACCACAAAGATGGGCGTGACCATAGACCGAGCGCGTTCCTTTCTTTCGATCGAGTGCCGTGAGAAGCAACTTTTCAATGCTGTCTCATCAGAAACTGAACACATATTTACGTTTCGAGACCAGCATTTAAATGTATGACGACAAAATGAATCATACGTAATATTATTACCAAAATACTATTCACTTTCGAACTCGTCCATTCACCAGACCGATGGGTTTTTCTATTGTTAAAAATCAGTCGGCAACAAAAGAAATACGATCACACTTTCTCGATTAGCTTTCACTTTCATTTTTAAGTGCAGTTTTTTGCTGCACCTGTTTTCATTGCATTCCGATAACGTGCTCAATTAACTCGTACATGCATCAAGCACTGTCGACATGTAATACTTAAATAAATGTTATCAGTATTATATTCGTCTTTGTGTGCCTTCTTACGTAAACATAATGATTCTTTTTCACTGCATTTCGGAAGCAAGTTTATTTCAAATTAACGTATCTGTCAAACATTATCCAAACTGTACTGACAACGTTAAAGTTTTATCATTAAATATTGAATTTGTTATAGAAACTTATTATATGAATATGATAAATAATTAAATTTCCATAATATAATCCGTAGTATATGTAGAATATATTAGTGTCTAGAATACTGTGCAAAGTCTTAGAACACCATGTTCGTTTTTCACTCGAATAGTAAATAAATCGAAAAGGGAGTAAATCTATGTAAATAAACAAAAATCTAATGTGACTTCATTACCACAGTACAGTATGCTTGCTACCTTAGACATAGTAGGGCAGATAAAAAACGTATGTCTTCTAATTTTTATTAGCATCACGTTTTTCGCAGACATAGCGTTTTAGATTTACGAAGATACTTAAGGATTGCATGAACAATTATGAGAATTTATATGATCACACATGACTTTGAAATTTATCGCTAATTCGACTAACTTCCTCGAAGTGTGTTCTATTAAGTTCGAATAGTTTCCAACCGTTTTGCACATGGCGGGTAGGTTTCTTCGTTCAGCACGTGAACGTTAATCGCATTAGCGCCATTACTGTGGCGTTTCGCTCTCTCGCTTTCGATCATAAAGCCAAACAGCATCATTCGACTGGAGACGATCTTCGGGTACCAATCGATCAACAATACTCTTGGCAGCGATGCTTTTACAATTCACTGAATTTAAGGTGAAAATTTAGAAATCTCGAAAGCTGACACCGTATCGAACGAGTGAAACGTCGTAAAGCATACTTTATAGCAACAAGCAAAGCAGGACACGAATCGTTCTGAAATCGCGTCGTTGGTATAACACGTTTGTTTATTTACTGTCGCAAACTAAAAACATCGATTGCACTTTCATAAAGAAAGTATTAATAAAGTTAATATAAAGTTTTAATATACACCTAGCGGCTATAAAGTCTCGAGCCGCGTTTGCAGCTAGATCTCTTCTTCAAGACAAAAAGTCGTACCACAATGTGGGAGAAATGTTTCGAAGTGAAAGGTGCACATGTTGAACAATATTTCAATCCAAGCTATTTATGTATTTTTGTCTGTATTTTCGTACTAAGAAATGAGTACAGAATTTTGAAAGACTAAATATTACGAAACTTGTCTCTATTAGAAACTTGTTCTATTCAAATTATAGCTGGCTTCGCAATAGAATTCTATAAACATTGTATTCACATAGTAATTCAAAGTAAAGAAACTAAGATTATACAATATTTTTGAAACAGAATAAGCTACTGAAATGCAAAGTACGATGGAGAACAGTGAATGTTTGAAAAATGTTTCCATTTTCAAATAATCGAATAACTTCATTCGCTACAAAAATTCGTACAAAAATAGGTTTATTCCGTTTTACGATTAAATATATATATATTATTCATTTTAAATACAAATCATTCAAGATTTCAACTAGCATTGTAACTAACAAAGTTACTGTTGTATTAACCTCCTGTTTCCTCGATCAGTTCAGATAACCGAGGTTCTGTTTTACAGCTATGTGCAGCCTAATTTTCAAGTAGAAATAAGTTTACACAAAGAATGTGGAGTACTTACCTGAATAAGCGCTTCAGGCTGCAAATGCTTTAGGAATTCTCCCTGCTGGTAATTAATAGACGATTGCTGTTGTTGTTGCTGTTGCTGAAGCCTCAGTTCCGCCTGCATCGCGGCTATCGATTCGGGAGTGCATGATGCACGAGCTTGGACCCAGGAAGCAGCGAGAATGAAGCTTCCTAGGACGATGGACATTGTCACCAAAGTGACAGCCGCGATCCTCGCGATTTGAACTGCCGTGCTCTTTGGCCTCATGTATGCCTGAGAAACAATCAATAACAAATTTCTCAGAATTACATTAATAACTGGATATTGCGGATTTTATGCATTACTCACGAAAATTCTCACGAAAAAGAATGCAAAACAAAGGAAGCATTTGAGAAGCTTAAAAATACAGGTACATCATCTTCGACCATAAGAAATATCTGACAATCAGTCAACAAAATAAATTTTTCCTCCGTTCTGATCAGTTCAATTATTGCTATTATTATTTGCTGGAAGACTATTAACAGGATTCTCAATGTGTCAATTTTTTAAATAATAATTTCGAGACAAGCGACCGTTACTTTTTAATCTCATTTTGCGTTAATTACGAAAAGTATATATTTATAGTCCGAACAGTGACTTAACAGTTACTCAATTATATTTTATTAGTAATTTAATAACGTTTGGGAGGAAAAATAATTAAGGCGTAAGTGTAGGTAATCAAAGTGAAATTATGATAAGTTAAGATAAGTAATAAAAACCAATAAATGATTTTTGTGGACCACTCTATGTATATGTATACGTAAGTTACTTCACAATCGTCAGTCACATAAACTTATAAATGTTTTTCTCTATTGTATACTTGAATATACATAAATTCTGTTAGGACTTAACAACACAGTAAATATCTGGATTACAAATGTCTTCCACGTATATTTCATTGTACTAAGCTAATGCAGTTATTACTTCTTAGTGATACTTTCTAGACCGTGACAGTAACAGCCTATTTATAACTCCTTTACAACTTATATTTGATTGCTATTAATATTAATTAGTAACACTAATTATACCTTAATGTAACGTATTGCATCAACCATATACTATTGCATTTTATTGTGTACTGGAGTTAGCACATTTATTAGCGGCTCTCTGTTTTCATTGGTACCATATCAAAATGTAATAATGCTACTTCTGGTACTGCGTTTTATGGAACGCTGTACCGAAGTGAAGACGCAATTTGATGTTAAACGCACGCTATATAATATACGATAACGCACATCCACGCGCATGATAGGTGAATGTTACAATGAAACACGTGCAAAAATCATTACGCGATAATGTAGTCAATGCGATATATGCACGCATAATACAGCCACATACATGTATGGGATTTCATGCTGGCTAGCCAACCGAGTCGAGGTCTTTTGTCGTTTCACGCTCTCCTTTCGCAGTCTCGCAGTATGTATTCCTACTTCATAGAATGAAGCTAATTGCGGGAAAAAAGTGAAAAATGTTGGTCGAGAATCTCTCTGTTTTCCTACACGCACGTTTTTCATTCCTATCATGTAAATTGTATATATTAAAGATAGAATAAAATGCGCTATTATACTCTAGTAACTTGGAAATTGACTACTATCCGCGGCAGAAAAAATATTCCATCAAAGTTTTATGTGTGATTGTTGAACGAATTATTTCCGCATTTTTACTAAAAACGAAAAATGGTATTAATGGTATGGAATTATGGTAAAAATGGAATTAATGGTATTACATTTATATTAAAGGAGTTCACGATATTTAAAACTGATATTAATAAAACACATCTGTTTTTGTCCTTTTAATACTAAGTTTCTCGTTTTTCTAAAAGAGAAATAAACATATTCATTTCTGTATGTGTATACTTTCTTGTAATAATGATGATACGAACACCTTTTATAAACTAACTTTTCAAAAATTTGACTAAATGGCTTGAATCATTTTCAGTTTCAAATTCTCCCTAATTGACCCTCAGCTTGGAAAGAAAAATGGACAATTCGGGAAGAAGGGGTACGATTATGCGACCCTTGCAACTCGTTTTTATAGTTGTTGACAATCGGTAATTATAAAAACGAACCGCTAGACTCAAATAATCGTAACCCCTCTTCCCAAATTGTCCCTTTTTGTGTACAAGCTGAGGATCAATTAGGATGAATTTACTGTACATTCTATTCTTGGAAATAATCTGCGTCACTTCTGTTTTTTGTCAACGATTACAACTAAACCACACAACATCGCGGGGATAATATAATTAAATTATAAACTCCATTCAGAGTTGTACATAGCGTATACTCTAATGAAATAACGATTTGTACGTCTCGAAACATTTTATCATTCATGATCGATCATTCGATCAAACCGAGCAATTAATGTTTCTTAAATTTAAATTCGTAAAAGTATACTCTACACGCGAGTAAATTTTTCATTTAGCTCAGCACTTGTAAAAATAACAAGGACACTGATTATTCGCGTAAAATAATTTAGATCCGCGAAAAGATGAGCGCGTAACACGAGATGCCAGGTGCTACATAATCACGAAGCAGAAAGAAGTCGCATAAAGCAAGTTTTAATAACTGTAGTTTGACACTTGAGCCGCAATCACAGCCAGTGCGGCCACTGACATGACATAACAGGTCGGTGTGTGAGAGCAACCAAATCAAATAAGTAAATTCGCAGTGAAACGATCGTACAACCTAAAAGTCAGCCTATACTCTTTAAGGCACTTGCAGATGAAATTTCATCGCTGTTCAATCGTCGATTGATTACAAAAGAAGCTAGCCGAATGAAACTTTCGAAACTTATTCAACTTTTGCAAAGGAACGATTTACGAAGCCTTTTTTTAACAGTTTCTCTACAACTGCAGCCCTTTTATTTAAAAAAAATAATGTTAACAAATGTGAGAGATTGTTTTATCATAAACACAGTTTGAATGTAAATCAATAAATGCGTGAAATAGAAACTTCCTTCATAAATTGCAACAATCAGGAACAAGATAGAAATTTCGTTCTTTATTTAATACTTTTAGTGAGTTATTAATAATATATAGATAATTCTAAATTCTCTTAATTTCTGTTTCAATTCAAATTTTATCAACCTATTTTATGCATTTGTAACAAAACTATGCAGGTCGCATGAAAAACAGTAAAAACAGTTAAAAAAACTTAAAAACATTGTTGCATTATTTTCAACTGCGTAAAATTATTAAGGAAAAAACGAATGCCCATGCAACTACTGTATTCTGCAAACAAAACAGATAATCTTTATTTTGCATAAATATCCACATTCTAGTTATAACTAACTCAAACTCCGTCATTAGTAACGATTATGGCCACAACGAAAAGAAAATTTCGAATAAAATTAATCATTTTTATCCGACGATTTTTTTCATACTATTTATAACAGTTCGCTGGTTTTCATAGTTATATTTGCATTTAGAATCATTTGCAGTGCTTACGCGAGCAAAGAGAGATAAACAACATATGTATTGTAATAATTGTTATCCGATGACTTTTTTTTATATTGATTATAACAGTGATGGTCCCAAGTCTATATGCATGTAGATATAATAATCCTTTCGTTTCGAGTGCCTGGCAACAGTGCCTGTTTACTTTTGTCTGGCAGATCGAGCAGCATAAAGGCAGCCTCGGATGGCCTACTATCTCCTCGAGGCCTCTCACCTTACAGTCGTCCATCCACATCGAGGTCATTACGAATACGTACAAGTACAGTCTCCGTCACAAGCATTTACCCTTTTCAATTAATTGGCTAATTAACACGGCGCCCGCAACAATCTCTCTTCCTTGCCGATCGGAATTGCCATCTGTTTTCGGCGAGATAACTCCAACCCGAAAATACAGTCGCGATGGAAAACGATGCGGCTCTCGGATGTTCGTTATTCGTCGTCGTGAAAGAAATTGTACTCTGAAACGCGAACGAGTAACGGTACAATTATATTATAGCATTTATAGCGCGATATCAAATTCGGCATCAGACGTCCAAGACGCGAGATTTCTTGCAGTTGAATGGATCGCCGAAGCGGAGAAACTTGTCTTTATTTGATGCAGTGCCGTTTCACATGTGTGTTGATGCACCAATGGCACTGTGATTTATCTTTATAGTAATCGCAGCAACGTTTTATATCTTATCGTTGCTTACACAAGATTCTTACGCTGTGTTATGATAATGGCGGATCTTTATGTGTGCGTTTATAACTTATAAAAATCGTCAAAATTATTACGACATTTGATATAACGCTATTTTAGTTTTATTTGTCCACGAAATTATGGATAACTCTTTCTCGAATTTCAGTTTTTGTAAACTTGTCTATAATGTTTTTAATTTTGAATAAACATTCGCTGTTCGAGTATTATGTTAGCCAGCGTACCATGATATCTCTGTAAAATCAGGTAATTATCGTATTAATTAAATGTAATTACGACAAATTAGTGCATGTTTCAGATTGTACAACCTGTAATATTAGAGTTGGTACGAGATCGTGGACAGAGAAATGTGAATTCCGTTTCGTTAAATGTTTGAGTACATTTCTCCTCCTTTCTCTCAAAAATGAATTTATTAGACAACTATATTGCCTGTAAATTGCATAGTTGTAAAGTATGTATAAAGCAATAATAAATAAACTGATGAAATAATTTAAAAACAATAGTTTAGAATAAAAATTGCAGATAAAATGATAAACTAACAATAAGTCCGCCTCTATAAGATATGCAGAGGCTCAATTATACAAATTACGCAGAAAATTTCTGCATACGCAACAAAATTTCGCAGAAACATATGTCCGAGGTAAAAAATAAATAAAAGGAGTGAAGAAATGTAAACGCTCATTTTATGACTAAACGATCGTGTAACGTTGATCTTACGTAATTTCCATTAAGATAATTGATTGAGAAGATGGAGAATCAAATCTCACATGATAAAACGCGTGGATGTATAAAAAAGGTAAATCTCCTGCTTTCGATTAAAACTCCGGTCTATCTGACTAACCTCGACAGCTCGCCCACGATCTTTGACATATTTTTGAATCGCTAGATTTTTAGTCGAATCTTCATATTTCAATAACTTATGAACATTTTAAAAATTCAGTGAAGAATGAATTTTATAATTCCATTATAATATTTCGTGGAATGTAATCTTATCTTCATTCGAGTAAAATCTTTAATCATGGAAGAAAACCTTTAATTCATTGTAATTTCTTTAAGTTTGCCTATAAAGCTCTAAATTTGCAT